ACGTCACTGGCTGCACGGTAAGGAAGAGATGTGCCAAATCCCTTGTGTGAGCTGGCAGGAGCTGGCTCTGGGGAAAGGGACTTAGCCCGGAAACCACGGGCAGAGTTCACATTAAGTACCACTGTGGTTCTCAGCAAGGTCATTCTGGACCCTTTCCAGATGTTCTTTTTCTCTAGAGTCAATGATCCTATGGTCAAAACATTCAGCCTTGTGGGACCACACAGGACAACGATCTGGGTGTCAGGATTGCACTGCCTTCCAGGGTGGCCGCCTCTGCCTCACCAGTGCCCTGCACTTCAAGTGCAGCCCCCAGCACAGAGCCAAAATGCCTGGGAAAGAGGTGGAGAGAGGTTTCATCCACCCCAGCCCTCTCTTCCTGGAGGACTCTCACAGAAGGAACAGGTACAGCATTTGAAGTAATACGTGGGTAGACTTTTATTACTAAATACCATAAGAGTATACAAAATGCATGATTGAATAACAACTAAAAAAAATTGTCCAAGAAATGTGAAATACACACATTTTTTGAAATGATAAAAATGTATCCATGAAAAATATAAAATGTCGCATATATATGTACAATATATATTTATATATATAACAAATGAAAATTGTAATTAAGAAATGTATACAACAGTGAGTAGGCAAGACAGTAGTTTTATACAGCGGTCACTTTGTTCCAGTCAATCACCTCTATTATTTACATCTTGCATTGAGGAAGTCTGTGAAAAGAGATTGTTTCCGCTTAGTGTCTTTAAAAGTCATTTGCACTGACAAAGAGTTTTCAAGTTAACTGACCAAAGGGTGAGAAATCCTTGGTCTGAAGGAGACGGAAGAACTGAGAGTGGGGGCCAGACCAGAGTCAAGTCAGCTGGCGTCGCACTGCAGGACAGAGGGTGGGTGCACTTCTGCCATCTGAACAGGCAGGCTGCTGGAGGCTGCTGCAGAAAAGGGTCTTCTGAGGAGGAAGGAGTCTGTTGGGTATGTGGAAACCAAGACGACATTATCTCTGGGTGGGCAGGCCCTGGCAGGAAGTGCAGGGAGTAGATTCAAGCATGAGATGGGGGTTCAGATTGGGAGACCTGCAAGGTCCCTTCCTGGCCCTGACATCTGTGGGTCTGCATTCAAGTAACAGCACTGAGGCGTGTGCGGAGGTTGTGTGTGGCGTGGGGCCACTTCCGAGTCGGCTCCTCGCCTGGAGCCGACACCAAGGAGTCTGAGGGTTCAGATGCTCGGGCCTCACAGCTCCTTAAGGATGATCTGAATCTTTCCGTCTAGCTCCCCCATGTCCAGTAGAAAGGCTACATGGTTGCTGTAATGCTGAATAATGTTGTTGTCCATGTTGACTAAGATCCTGGAAGAGAGGAGGAGACGCAGTTGGAATATGGAAGGCCCCTCCTTGTTTTCTGGCCCTCTGAGTGACAAGGATGATAGTGATTGTTAATACTCAGTAGGTCCCTGCAATGTTTCAGGCACCTCACAAACCTTCCCTCTGATCCTCAAAACAACCCTGCAAAGTGGGTATTCACAGGCCGCCTTTACAGGGCAGGGCAAAATGCCTAAGTGGCCAAGTCACAACTCAAACCCAGGCCTGCTGGCTACCACGCCCACAGCCAACATGCCAGATTGCCTCTCTCCTGACACACACGAGTATGGTCACATATGAGCAACTAAATATGCAGATCTGAGGGAGACACAATGCTCCTTCACTGGATTGAGGTGACTCGGACATAACAGTGTGAGTTCGGGTCCAGAGGGTATGGTGGTTTGGGTTCAACAGGAGGCTACGATGTGCCACTCAGTTGTGCCTGTCAGAGCCAGAGGCAGTGCCACGCAAGTCCCCTCTCAGTTCCATCCCCATGAAGCTGAAATCTCAGGGGAAATTGTAAATAGACTTCAGGGGCTCATTCCTCTTTAGATGAGCACCTGTGCCACCTGAGACAGAACCTCCACGGCTATGACCCCTGCAGGGGCTCAGAGCCACAGTTTATATCAAAAGGTACCCCTCTAGGAGCTTTCTCCTTGATGAAGGACCCATCAAGATGTGATGTGAGCTGATCACATCACCTTTCTCTTTGTCCCTTCCCTGCTAAGTCTTCTGACCATGTAATAAAGTTGGGTGTAGCCCCCATCCACCCACTCATCCACCCACCCATCCATCCATCCACCCATCCATCCATCCATCTACCCACCCA